AACTGTTAAAGATATGAACACTTTGCAATCTCATGTTTTAGAGACTCAAAATGTGCATTCTGTGCCAGAGATCACAAAACTAGTGAGCATAAATGTGAAACATGCTCAAAAAGAGATGAAATTTGTTAATATACTCTGCTTAAGTGCTCTAATTGCAAAGAAAAACATGCATCTAGCTCAAAAGAATGTATGTTTGCTTCTAGAACTCAAAAGAACTGAAGAAAAGATGAAGCTCAAAGTCAATTTAGAACTGAAGAGAAGAGTCAAGCCAGTAAACTCACAACTGCAAGCTCAAAAAGAAGAAACTCTCAATTATCTAAGTCTTCAAACTCCAATTCTCCAGCAAAATGTAAACAGAATTTGAATTCTCAAACTCCTGTTAAGATTAGAGAATTGAGAAATGACTCTGGTGATAAACTAGATATAATGCAAGCAGTTGAGATTCCTACTTTTCAGAACAGTTATAATCTACTATCTGATGATAGTGATTAGATTCTTCTCTACTCTCTTTTAGTATGAATATACAACAAAAACAACAAAAAAAGTTTAAAAACTCTTCAAAAATCACATTTATTCAAAATAATGTGGATAGAAACTCAAATTGCATTTATTCTTGTCTTCAAATTGCATTTGAACAAAAAGTTGATTTTGTACTGCTTCAGGAGCCGAATTTTGATGCTGAGCAAAAATATGTCATTTCTCATTCAAGCTACTACTGCTTTTTACCTCAAAAGTCTGAGATAAAGTCAAGAGTAGTGATCTATGGAAGAAAGAGATCAAGATATCAATTTAATCTAAGATTTGATATCATGTCTGACCCTGATATTCTGGTGGGTGATATTATAGATAAAGAAAATGAGTTTGATACTATACAGCTCATAAATATCTATAATGAAAAGTCATTGAAGGAAAATAACAATATCTGGACAATTGATAGAGGATTTCTGAACATAACTCCATCAAGAAACTCTATAATTGCAGGAGATTTCAATGCACATCATCCCTGGTGGAATTCAGAATGCAAGAGAGCAGTGAGAGCTGATAATCTGGTTGAATGGACCTTTGAGCATTCAATAGATTTGGTTAATAAGTCTGATCAACAAACATTCTTTAGAAAAGGCATGAAACAGAAGTCTATTATAGATCTAACATTCATGTCACAAAATCTAATGAAAAGAAGACTTGTAAACTGGTTTATTGATTCAAATGAGACATCAGGATCAGATCATGAGATTATTCAATTTGATATTGAACTGAGTGAAAAACAAATGAGTGAAAATCCTCTTCTCTCTAATCAGTATAACTTTGAAAAAGCTGATTGGAAAGCAGTTGAAGAAAGCATAAAACTGTTAAAATCTGAAAGACAGAATGAGCTATATTGGAATTCTGATCAAGATATCTCAAATGAAATGCTTGAGAGTAGAGTGAAGCTTATTACATCTATCATTCTAACAAGTGTTAGAGATAATATTTCAAAAAGAAAATCTTCTGAGTATTCAAAACCTTGATGGAATGAGAATATCTCATCTAAAAGAAAAGAATTAGCTACTGCTAGAAGAGATTGAAAGAATGATGTAATATCTGATGAAGAGTTCAAAACTGTCAGAAATGAATATTTTTCAGATATTAAAAGAGCTAAAACAGACTGCTGGAATAAATTTCTTGAAGAAGCACAAGGGAAGGAAGTTTTTAAAGCTTTTAACTATACTAAAACAAGAAGTGTAGCAAAACTTCCAGCTCTAGAATATGAGTTTCAGAATGAATCATATACAGCAAACTCTTTTGAGGAAAAATGTCAAGCTTTCATGAGAATTCTCTTTCAGAACTCACCAGATTCAGATTCAGATTCAGAGGAAGAGAATATATCACTTCTCAACTATGTTGATGAAAATGACTGGGAATGGCCTGATCTTACACAAGATGAATTAGAGTCAGCTATCTTCTCAAGTTCTGTTAAAACTGCTGCAGGTCCAGATTCAATTAATCACTTGATTATTCAAAATACATATTTCTACTTAAAGAATGAATATTTTGAGCTCTTTTTCAATCTCTTGAAAAATGGATATCATCCTGAATGCTGGAGAGAAGCCACTGGAGTGATTCTTGCAAAACCTAATAGAAAAACTTCAATTCCTAAGTCATATAGAGTAATATCTCTATTGAACTGTTTAGGAAAGGTTTTAGAAAAGATAATAGCTACTTAACTATCTTTTATAAGCTCTATAGATGATTCTCTTTTATTCAGTGAACAAATGGGAGATAGAAAACAGTGTTCTGCAATTGACACTGTTCTCTCAGTTGTTCATGATATTCAAATAGCAAAGCATGAGGGTCTGGTCTCAACTGCAGTTTTTATTGATATAAAAGGAGTGTTTGATCATGTTTCAAAGTCAAAGTTAATTCAGACATTGAAGATATTAAAACTGCCACTTTCCCTAATAAAATGAGTTAACTGTTTTATGTCTAAAAGAATTATACAACTCTTCTTTGATGAAATGAAACAAGACAAGACTGAGATAAAAATAGGAGTATCACAGGGGTCTCCAATCTCACTCATTTTATTTGCAATATACACTGCATATCTATTCAAAAATAGAAATATGAGAATAG